CTCTAGTCGGTGTTGTTTTCATGAAAACAACAAATTATGACTTAATTTAATTTAATTGACAATTAATGCAAAGATTCAATTTAAAATTTGTGTGATAGAAAAATGTTTGCATATATAAGTAATAACGATATAATTTTTTATAACAAATAAAAAAATCAAAGCTCAGAGATGACTTTTACGTCTTAAACTGTTGCTAAGTCGCACAAAAAGTTTACTAAGCAATTATTTATCAAAAGTAGAGCAATTCATTTCTAATAATTTTCCTTGTCCTAACAATATTTTATAATATTATAACTATTGGCGTTGTTTAACCCATCCAGCACTAGTGGCGTAGCATAGGGGGGGACAAGGGAGGCACCTGCCCCGGACGACACTTTGATAGGGGCGGCAGATTATAGAAAAAAATACTGTTTTTTGGGCTTTAGGAAACCTGTGCTGCATGAAGTCAATGTTACCCAAAATTATTTCTAAACCGAAGGGCTAAACGTGTATGACAGTGCTAAAAACTAAGTACTTTACAAACGTTATTAAAAGGAAAACGAGAGAAATTGGTAAATGTGCTAAAACTGTGTGTAAAGACTTTAGGAAATTAAATGAAACCTCGAGGAAAATTATGAAGATGGAAGACGAACATTTTTAGCGATAGAAGTAAAGATTTTGTCTTGTCCCTCGCCTTGTCCCTCAAAAGTAAGAAAACAATTGAAAACATAAGTGGATGAAAAGCCTATGTAACAGAACCATACTTTATAAATATTTGAGTTTAAACTTTCTTATTTGAAAGTTCACCATCGAGTTAACCATAGAACATAGGTTCCTTATCCCCTGGTAACACCTTTATTTGAAAGAATATCATAACAGATCATAAAATGAAATTTATATACCCAGTATCACCTACTGCATACTTTTCAATACGCGTTGCACACGTGTGTGTTTATGTGTAAAAACCAGAGTTGGGTCGGATACAGGAAAAAAGTATCCGAGTACCGGATACGGATACTCACAATGTATCCGGATACTTTCACCTAAAAAGTACTCGGATACAAGTATCCGGATACTTTTTCGGATATTTTAAAGGATACTTTTTCGGATATTTTAAAGGATACTTTTTCGGATATTTTAAAGGATACTTTTTCGGATATTTTAAAGGATACTTTTACGGATACTTTTAAAGTGAGTTAAAATAATGTTTTCATACCAATAATTATAATTATGCAATAAGATTGATTACGAGTAACAATAAATAATACGAGGCATAAATAAATTTTTTGAAAATGGAAAGCGATATAATAGAAACAGGAAAATACTACTCAATAAATTGTTCATTATTTTTATTTTGTGAATATAAAATATTTAAACAAAATGAACAATAAAACATAAAGGTGCGTGTAAATAAAACGAGTCGCGCCTAAACCACGCCAAAAACCAGCCAGTGTCGTGTCCATATAAATCTAACGAAATAAGCTCGTTGTTGGCGCGACTTGCCATGTTTATACAACCTTTCGATATTCTCGTCAGTGTCAGATGTATTCGACAATCCATTTTGGTTGAGAGGAGAGCGTCGAAAAGAGGAGTGGAAGATTGCTGAATGTTTCGTTATGGCATAGGAAAAGCAGGCTTAGTTATATTGCACTATATAAAAATACAGGAACAACCGTCTCTTGTCTTTGCTAACTGAAACATAACTGGGTAATGGAATTCCACAAGTTCGTGACGCTAACACCGGACAAGAGTTTGCAGGATTTTTCCTGTAAAAACGTGCCGCAAGATGCTGAATCCCGACCGTCTATATACTGAGTGAATCGTCAAATTAACCCTTGGCGATGAGACATTTTTTTTGCCTTATTATAAATTTTACAGGGTGCACCAAACAAAACTACAAATCATAATAAAATCATTATTTTACTATTTTTTTTTAAGTAGGTACCTATTGCAATTGTGTCTTGAATATTGTAATATTGAAGAATACGTATTTTATTTCTAATTACATAAGGGTAGCTCAAAGTATAATTATTATATATTATATATTTTAATAGAGATAATATGGATTGGATCAGTTACGATAGTGGTAAATAATTTAAAAGTATCCGAAAGCCGAAAAAAGTATCCAGTATCCGGATACTTACAAAGGTCACGCATACGGATACCGGATACAAAATTTGAAAAGTATCCGGATATAGCTTTCAGATACACATAAAGTATCCGGATACTGTATCCGGATACAGAAGTATCCGGATAATACCCAACTCTGGTAAAAACTACAGAAAGTTAGCACTAGAGCGACCAGGAAACGAATAATGTGAGCGATGTCAGTTTATACGGCCCAACCAACGTTACCACGCGGTCGGGCCGTATAAACTGACAATGCTATTTTGGATAATAATTGATTTTTATTAGACTACCAAAACGTAGTTTTCGGATACTATCGATAGTTTGTTACTATCGACAAATATCGATTGTTTTAAGTAATCATCGATAGTTTAAACTCGCATGGTTTTAGTATTTTTCAAGTTTATTTTCACGAAATTCGATTCAAAAAACCAAAATTAAAAATTTTATAAGGACGCACTCTGAAATTAAGCACTAGATCATACATAATCTGTTTTTAAGTTTGCCTAACTAATTTTCTTTTGAGTTTTGTTGACGATTGTTTGGGTATTATATCATTTTTAAAAATAAATACTTTTTAACGAAAAGAAGACAATATTAGCACATAAAATATTTTAAGATGTACATTAGGTTGAGCACATAAATTTTAAGTGTTTAATATAAGACATAAATGCAAGCTAATTTGTTTATAAAAAAAATTATTTACTTGCATTTTAAGCCAGGAAAGATGTTTTAAATGTTTAATATAAAGGGTTGATTTGAGGGTGATTTACAGCCCGGCAAAATATTTTGAGATATACATTAGGTTAAGCACATAAATATTATCAAATTTATATTAAAGAAGTTTCATTTCATTCCAATTTAAGCAGGCTAATATTTTTTAAGTATTTAAAATAAAGGTTTGTTTTGAAGATAAATAATTTTTTGTAATTTAGATACATACGATTTATTATAGTTTGTGTACAATGAATTAATTCTACACGGCTAAGCCATGGATTTATTACCGCTGGCGCTTTGGTGCCCGCCGTCAAACTCATGGCTGGAACTCGTGGCAGTTGTCACACCGGTCAGACACACTTCGTTCATACTTGTTTTATTTATGCCGAGGTTTATGCCGTATATTATTTGAACTATTTTGGAGACGAAAGTGTACTTAACTCGAAAATGCCTAAAGTGGAGCTATCTTGTTCTTGCAGTAACCCTATGATCCAAACATTTCTTTGAAAATTAGCGTCACCGATGAATGTTTTCATGCATTATGCCCAAAATTTTAGAAACAGAAACTTATAGTTTTAAGAAGCATCTTAATAATAGTGTTTCGGGCCACAAAAAAGCTTTGAGGGCCGCCAGTTGAGTATGGCTGGTTTAGAGTAATATCAAACGATATGTACCTACTAATAATCGGCCGGAGTTAAAGTGAATAACAAAAGAATTACAAGCGTTTTAAGTTGGTGGCCGACTACTAGAACAGTATCAAAATAAGCACTTTGCTCTATTTTTTTGCATCTTTTGGTTTCAAATTTGTCTTTTTTGCTATTCTAGACTCGATTCTAGACCATGCCCAAACATCCTAAGAGAAAAATCCACATGTACTCGTAGGAAAGCTTGAAAAGGGCTATAGAAAAGATTAAAAATGGCGCTAAAATAAGAGACGTGTTAGTGAAAAACCAAGAAAGATGGGTCCAGTCCTGATTTGAAGCTTAGAAAGTGAGAAAAAGATAGTTGACTGGTTAATGCAGTTTTGTTTGTTTTTATGTATGTTTTCGTACATTTTTATTTTTGTTTTCTCTAAATATATTATAAAAAAAACATCTTTGTTTTCAATTTTAGCTATTATTACCTACTTGACTCATTTTTACAAAGAACATGTGATTGAATAGGAACGTTTTTAGTACGGTTTTTAGTTTAAATTGTTACAATAAAATTTTGTAAGTACTGCTCTGAAGTAAATTGCTTCAATATATTGGCGGCCGACTACTAGAATATGCCTGGCCGACAACTAGCATATGGGTGGCCGACTATTAGAAAAAAAGCACATTTTTATTAAAAAAATTAACTAATAGTACTTATTATCTTAATTAAATTATTTTTTTTTTGTAAACACATAATAGTCTAATAATAGTTGTGCTTTCTTACTATCTCAGAACTCGCATCCTAAGTTGGATGTTGGAAAACAAATGAGCAACTTATTATTCAATTTGAATGTCATCTAAAGTGGCCCACTACTAGCTAACCCACCTTTTGTGTCATTATTCATTATTTGCACAAGATATGGAACTTAGGTTTTTGGTTTACAATAGCAATACCTACAGGTACGCTCAAACTAGATAGGTTACCAAAACTTTTATAAAGAATTACATTTTTAAGAAAAGGGAAAAATAAAAAAGTTTTTCTTCTTTTTCAGTCCATCCGGGGACACCCGTGCCTTGATATTTTATATTTTACTCTTATTTTAAAATTAAAATAGGAGGTACATTTTCAAATCAATCAATAATTATCGAAGTCGCGACAGTGTTTATGTTTTGGGTCAAACAATAGCATCATTGTAAACTCTCACTCTCAGATATTTTTAATCATCATGATATGCTCGATGACATAAATAGATAGGTATAGGTAGGTAGATAGTTATCTTTCCAAAAAAATATTTTTTCTCGGTAAAATATTTAATAATAAAATGAATCATTGATTCCTATTAAATAAATGTATGATTAAATGCTTTCAAATAACAGAAATGTACAGCATAACTTAAAAATTAAAGTGCTTCAAATTATAGTAATTTTTCGGTTTTTCGTTACAGACTGACAATAATTTTGACCCACCAGCCGTCCTTGACAAGCAATGGTTTCAGTTAATTGACTATGATAATTTGAATATGAATAACATTTTATGCTTACTTTCAATTGTTTATCAACAACAATTTTCCATTTGAAAAGTGCTACCTAAAATTAACTGGAATTCACTACGAAACTTTTTATCGACACGAAAAAAAATGCACTTTCAATCAACCAATACCGATGAATTACACACTATTTGAGTTTTAGCACAAACGTCACTGTTATTATTATAATAGCTATTTTTGCGTTTGACCTTCATCCAACATAGAAATTAAAAAACGAAAACACTTCTCTATACACCGATCTCCCACACCGGAGCGATATATACATTCAAAAAACACTGTTGCATGAACTTATTCCGACGCGATTTTGAATGTATTTCAGTTAATCAGTTTTGAACAAATCATGAGTCAACAGGCATTTGTTTCCCTACCATGCGGCCGCACACACGTTGTCGACCAAGTGTCAGCTATAGATATTCATCAACCTTTACTTTAATACGACGGACTGTGTAGTGTGTACCTATAGATCGTAACCATGGCCGAGATTAGCCGTACTTTATTGTATAAGCTACGAGGGGAAATCGATAATATATTATTATCTAATAAACTTGGTAGGTAGGTAGGTAGGTATGTAGAGTTGACTCACTACTCAAAAGGACATTTCTAGATAGAGAGGGTTGAGGAAGATACACTTATGCTGGTTATGCAGAGCGCTGAAAAAAATCGAAAAATTGACGAAGGACAATCATCTTGAACTCGCCTTCAACAAAACCTCAGCGGTAATACTTTAAGGAATTCGCAGCGGTAGATACATCGTGTTCCGGTCATGGAGGAAGGATAATTAAGAGTTGCAAATTCCACACAGAAATGGGATATATGGGATAGTTTTGTGCAACTAATACGCAGTCGGTAATATAAAAAGCTGTAATGCTATTTTAATCTGAAAATTGGCGGGCTTTTGAATTTACTTCGACAAAATATAAGAATTTTACATTTTCAATATCATTTTTTTAACATGCATCTCATGCGTGTTAAAAAATGCTAATAAAAAAGTAAAATTTTAAAGGTATAAAATAAATAATACAAAATTGTATTATATATTGTATATAAATATTATTTGTAGAATCTTTATTGGTTACAACAATAAACATAATATATATTTTCTGAATAAACATTTATTTTAAATAACACAAAAGAACAAATTTTTTCTTTAATCGTGCGAAATAAAACAAGAGTTCTATCCATAATTTCTGAAACGAAACAAAAAAAAAACAATTGTTGAAAGCCAAAAACTTCTTAAAACACATCATTTTGATTGTATGATGTGACTAATTACTTTTGCATTTGCAGCGATTCTACTTCTAATTTCTATTTAAGATTTTCTTGCTTTATGTAATGAAAATACTTTAGATTTATAAAGATTAAAAGGCTTGGTTAATACATATAATTAAATTAATTCGCATATCTAGGATAATTATTATAAAAATGAATATCAGAATTAAAGCTTTGTTAAGGATTTCAATATTTGGGGATAACACAATTACGAATACGAATAATAATCCTTTTTTTCAGTTGATAATAAAGTGAAAATGTTCTAAAACAGTGTAAATGGGCCAGAACAATTTATTATATGCATTTATAGGACATGCAAAAGTATCAAAATAAGTTTACTTACAGTAAATTATTACTACATTTATGCCTAAAACTGTATTAAATAAAAGTAAAACTCACTTGGAATTGTTTACATCGACATCCATATTGTATTTTGTATCATTCGGGTTTCGGCTATCGAGTCGACTCGAGCGTTAACGAGATTTGGATTCTGTTATCCAAAGCCAGATTTACATTATACAAATAATTGGATAAATCCATATTTTTTAAATTTTACGATAGATAATAAAAAAAAAAAAGTGAAACTATTACTTTTGGCAAGTTACACATTATTTCGGCCCCTACTTTTCCGATTATAAAAAAAATATTTAAAGAAATAAGTTAACTCCCCGAAACCGACTATAATGGGTCGGTTATGGAAATGGGACGACTCTGGCCACTGTCGATTTTATCAGTCTGAAATATGCTAAAAAATATCAAGGCATTTAGAGATTCGAGTATAGTGAGAAAAAACACAGAGAGATGCATGGTGATCCTACTGTCAAGAAATCGAAGATTTCTCGCCGGACCGAGTATTCAAAATATCACTCAAGAGACCCACACCGCATCATTGGTGCGCTAATCAAAGAGGATGGCATGAAAAATGCAAACCTCGAAGATCTCATCAAACTTCGGCTGACACTTCCCCAACTCGGTCATCACAGACGTGACCGACTTGGCAGAGAAAGAATACAACACACCTGTCTACGAATGGCAATATTGTAGACGATGTTAAAATTAGATGAGCAATATTTAGCTTCTCTCCATTTAAATCGCCAGGACCTGACGGTATCTATCCAGACCTACTTTAGTGGGATCCCTGAATAATTCATATCACACCTGGTAAGTTTTATCAGATCCTCGTTGGCTCCGAGGCATATCCCCAAAAAATTGAGAGAAGTGAAAGTGTTCTTCATATAAGAGGCGGATGTCCACGGGGGGAACGGGTTATCACATGGTCACGGTCATGGTTCTCGGTACCCTCATCAGCCTCCTCAATAATGACAATCACTACACAATAGCATATTTTTTGAGAACATACTCTGCGAAAGAATGCAAGTAGATCTCAAAATTATAGAACACTGGTATTAGGACCATTCACTGTTTATCAATCAATCAAGGAAAAGCAAGAAAATGGAATTAAAACCTCCAGAACTCCTGAACACAAAACTAAACTTTGCAACAGATGTGAAGTACCTCGGTCTCACCTTTGACAGCAGGTTAACATGGAACTCGCATTTAGAAAACAGAGTCAAAAGAGCATACATTGCTTATGAACAATGCCGCCAAACCGTAGGGCGCACCTGGGGTTTCTCCCCCAGAGTCGTCGCATGGACACACTGCTATCATAAGATCTAAGCTAATATACGGTGTAGTTGTCTGGGTAGCGAAAATCCAAAAATTGACAGCCATCTGTAACCTAGAACAAATTCAAAGAACAGCAAGTCTCAACATAACAGGAGCCATGAAAACAACACCGACCAGAGCCATGGAGGTCATTCTTAGTCTCATTCCACTTGACATTTACATCAAGGAGGTTGCTCTAACGACAATGACAGGCCTCCGCATAGTTGGAACAGAACCTGATGTAGGAGCTGGTGAGGCGAGAAGTGGCTCTTGGCAGGAGGCGCTCGATACGCTTCCACTGCTTCAAGCGGACTCCATCTCAGCGAGATATATCTTCCATAAGCCATATAAAGTTGTTACAGAACAAATAGAAGAGGCAGATACAATTATTATCTATACCGACGGTTGTAAAACAAAACAAGGCTCATGATGTGGAATATACTCCAGATCCTTAAACCTAAACGAATTTAATCAGGTTTTAGTACTAGAATGTCACGAAGCTTTAGTCAAAGTATCCATCAACAACATGGTAACCTTAAGATGGATCAAATGTCACGCCACGTCTTGCTGATTCACAGGCTCAAGAAAGCAGCCAACCATATACTTTTTGAACCTGGCCCTTCTATTGTCCTGACAAATTTGGTAGTGACATACCTAATTAAAGAACATTCCCTTGTGAAATTCAAGAAAAGATGGGATAAAACAAGAAACTGTAGAGTTGCCAGGGAGCTTTTAAGTTATCCTGACAACACTGCAGCAAACAAATACTTGACTATGACTAGACAGAATCTGCACTTAGTCACAGACATTCTGCCTGGTCATTGCCAAGCACGGAAGCCTCTCTATATCATGGGACTGTCAGAATCCGCACTCTGCAGAGGGTGCGAACACGAAGATGAGACCATCGAGCATATCATCTACGATTGCTCGACGCTCTAATTTATTAAGAGATTTGTATTCGGCGAGTATCGGCTAACGCTGGCCGATATACGAGAAGCGCCTCTTGGCGACGTTGTCAGCTATATTAAATCTGTAGGCTGGCTCACGAGCTAGGAGGTGCCTATCATTTTAGGAGGATGCACAATGGGCCTAATGAGGCCTAAGTGCCGTGGGGGGGTAACACACCCTCCATACGTTACAGATACAAAGATACGAGGTTTGTTAAACATAAAGGTATTTTACTCTTGAGCAAAATTTATATTTATTAACGCACCTCGTATACGCCTAAAAAAATAATATCTGATAGTTAAATTTTAGGTTTAAGACTAGGTAAGGTTAAAAATAAGGAATGATCTCATCGCCTTCCACTGCGACCCAGACGGATCTATTGTGGCTTATGTCTAACTTGTAGTTCACCATACAAGCCACACATTTTGATGAAGTTCATGATTGAATTGGGTGAGACTTGTTTAAAGTCGGTAGGCTCCAGTCGGGTGAATCCGAAGATCTGGAACCTAGTGCTTTCCAAAACGGAGTAGGTACATAAAATGTGCTCTGAAATTTCGTTTTCCACGCTGCAGAATCGACAGTCCGATATTTGTTGCAGATCTATCTTTCTCATGTGGTTACCTAGACGATAATGTCATGTCATTAGTCCCGAGAAAATGCGTGGATTTTTCCTATTCCACTCTCGGATCTGAGCAGAGGTATTCATAGAAGGGTATTTTTCCAATTCGTTAGTGTTGCACCTTCCGTCCATTTTAAGATAGTTTCTTTAGCAGTGCTCTTTGTAATGCCCAGGAATGGTTCTGGTCCTATGAACTTAGATTCGGTTCCTCTGTTAGTGAGCGCGTCTGCTTTTTCAATACTATACAGTTCCAAATCAGCTGTGAGGCATTTTATCTGGTTTCTGTGCAAATTTACTATTTCCTTTCTTAACATTTTTACCTTTTCCTTTTAGCATGGCTATATCTAGACGGTTTATTTCAAGTTGTATCTAAGAAGTTTATTTCAAGTTGTATCTAAGAAGTTTATTTCAAGTTGTATCTTCAAGTTTATATCAAGAAGTTTATGAAGATTTATACCTAAGAGTTTGGTCCCATCTGAAGACCGAGGTTTGGTTCACCTATAGAAGATCGTTCAAGTCCAGCATTAAGAATAAGAATCCCTTTGAAGAGGGCCTAGTATACTATGCAAATCACCCCAATATAACTACCTCCTGTTACAACAGATAAGTCTTTATTTTTGTTGTATAAATCATCTAAATTTGAATTAAGTAAATCTCTGTGAATTAGAATTTGTTACTACCTTATCTAAAACTTTGTTTAAATATAATATCTTAATGGTGAGTGATTTTCTATATTTTTATCACTAATCTATAGTCAAGTACAGTAAGTTTTAAATATAGTGGTGCCCAACTTCTTTTTCAAGGTAATTCGAGTTATTTAACAACCTGACCCACTCCCAAAATCAATTGAGCTTAAAACACTATAACAAGTAGATAAAATAACAAGTAACACGTTACAGACTTTTCTATGTAATGTCTGGGAATTAGCGAGTCTGTGACCATACCAAGAATGTAGTGGTAATTAGTCTCACTTATTAGCCCCGTCTTGTCTCATCGCAATGTTACCATGGTTTTTACCACTGTTTGGTAAATCCAGTAGATCGGTTGAGGACTGATTCCCCAAGCTTTACTTCATATCCTTCTGAGAGTCCAGAGGGATAATCTGGCTGTTGACAGTTTTTTTTAAATATGCATTTTACGTGTTTTTTTATCTAGGATAATCCCCAGTTATTTCACCTTTTCCGCAAAAGGAATGGTTTCCCGGGCTAAGGTAGGTCATAAAATCTTGTCGAGCTTTCTTCTCTAGGTAAAGGGAACGATAACAGTTTCCTGGGGGTTGACAGAAATCTGTTTCCTGTCGCACCATCTGTTGATTGTATTTAGGACTTGTTGAAGGATGTTGGAGAGCACCTCTTCGTACTTCCTCCTAATTATGATAACCAACCAGATCGT